TATATGTCCCAACATTTTATTAGATATATTACTGAGAGAAAGAAAAGAGATGGATGAAAAAATTGGAAAAAATGTGAATTTATTTTTACTAGATTACATTTAATATGATATTAAAGTGCGTTTTCTCAGACGTGGCTTGTCGTCAAATTTGTCAGCAATATTTTCGCTTATAAGACATGTAAAAGGTAAAAAAGATGTAGATAACACTTTTCTCTTATTGGATCCTCGAACTGGATCGATCGAGCGCACCTAGAATCCAATCGATTCTGCCACATGATAAACATGCCTGCACTAGTTGCCTCGTATATACATGTGCACACATACGTATTACCGGTCTCTTATGCGCCTTCACTTTGACATCGAGGCACTTGAGACGTGTGTGTATCTCTCGACTCGATAAATAATTGCCGCAATAATAACATCTTCATTTTAATTTAGCCTACTTCTAGTTATGTCGCAACGATATTCCGATACTCCAATTTTTCCGAGGACACGTCTTCGGGGACATCCGACTCACCTGGATGATCGGTTTCCAATTTTCCGTTGGACGACGATTTCTTTATTTATTCGCCGCGATAGACAGGTTGCGTTATCTCGAGAGATGCGCTGCTCGCTGATGCAGCAGCGGTACTTATGACCGGGCTATTGCACCGTCTGGTACGAACGGAGTTGCTGAAAGAGCATTCGCCTCTCACGCGAGCGCGAAGGTGAACGCCGATGTCATAGGACACGCACAGGACATGCTTGTGATACATGTATACGTTACTTAACAATACGTTATATCGTTGCTAAAGCTCGCTATTATGTAGATACACCTGCGAAGGTAGCGGATGATGAATGGACCCATCGCTGATAAATAATGTCTGTGCTCGTTTCTAATTTTGCGTCACCTCTCTTGGATGAGCACTTTATTATTGTTCTGTGTTAAAATTGTAAATTGAAGTAGATTCGAAGCTCTAATAGTCCCATATTTATCGCCGGCCATGAATGATGTATGCGATATATAAATTTAGTGCAAGGATGACGAGCTAAATGGATTCAAGGAGAAGTTTATATAAGAATTTTAGATTAAGTTGTTGTGCGAAATAAATTGATTTCTGACGCATCTTCAACAGTTGGAGGAAAATTTCTGCAGAGAAAATTTCACAGAAAAAAAATGTATACTGTATTCAAGTAAATATGATTTATTTTAAGTATATCATAAGTTTGTATATCCGCAAAATATATCACAAGTTCATCACAAGCATTAAATTGAATTGAATATATTCTGAAGTCTTTAGTAAATGCGGTCACAGAAAAAAAGGACATTCTTATTTTGAAAATATATTTAGTTTTAACATGGAAATCTTGAAATGAGATTATATCGCGTTAAGAAAAATATAATTGCTTGAATAATTGCTTACTTGAATGAAGCCATTTTATATAATTCATCAATCGAGAAAAATATATTCTCATGATTTAAGATTTAATTTTCTTGAATGGAAAAGAAACAATGTTGGATAGAAAATAACATTTTTAAATCAAAGATTATAATTTTCTTAAAGTAGAATTAAATAATTATATATTCTTGAGATGACAATTACAATATTAAAATAAGACGATAATATTGTTGAAATTTAAAATTATTAAATTCTTCTAAGAAGATTAGAAATTGTTGCGTATATACGAAACAATAAACGTATTAGTTTAAGTAAATAAGTTTTGATTTGACACTTCTTTTTTTTCTGTGGTATTTTAGGCAAGAATATTAAATTAAAATAAAAATTTGGTTTGCTTATTACATGAGTTGGCGTAAAGTAAGTTCGATTTTTCTTTGATACAACTGTACAATATTCTTGAAGAGAAAATAATTTCTTCTTTTGAGTATATGATAATGAATTTCTTTTGAGTATATGATAATGAGATTTTCTAACACTTGTGATGAGTATATTTGAAGATTATTATCAAGAATATATTCTTTATTGAAGAAAACTATTACTTAAAAAAAGAAAAATTAACTGAGTAATCGCTTTTCTTGGTAGTAGAATGATATTTTTCTCTGTGTATCATTTACTTATGTTAGTCATTTTTATTCTTCATGAGATCAGCTGATGCCCAAAACTTGGAATCTCAGTTTAAATTGTCAGGAAGAAAGAAAGCTATATTTCTGATCGATCGAGCGATATACTTTAAATTAGACGCCCCTCATTTGATTTCTCCGGATCTAACGATCGATAAGTCACCTCCGAATGCGATTTTCGAAATTGATGGAAGAGAAAAGTTTGAGGAAATGACGACGCTATCTTCACCTTTGCTCGACGACAGTTCATGGATGTTTGTGACGTGAAAATATCGCGAAAAAGAAGAGAGAAAAAATATCAAGCACGAGTGCATCACGCGTGAATATCGCTATCTGTCTTCGATATTTGCATTCCTACTCGGCAAATGCACATTCCCTCCCGACTGCTGTCGGTGCTCTGCTCGTACCAGGTCGAACAGCCTGGTACGAACGCTGCACTTCCAAGCCAGAGCTATTTCCTCTCCTCTGCTCTCCTCTCTAGTGGCATCAGTCTCTCTCTCTTTCTCTCTCTCTCTGTTTCTCACTCTCATTGTCTCCCTCCCCCTAATCGGCGGCCGCTTCTCTTCTCTCTTCTTTCTTTCTCCATCCATATCTCTCTCCTTCTCTCTCCCTCTCTTTTTTTCTTCTTCTTTCTCTCTCTCTCTCTCTCTCTCTCTCTCTCTCCTTCTGGAGCCTCTTCTCTTGTGGCTTACTTACACATCCACGCTCTCACCTCCTCCGTGATCTCCTCACTTTCCTTCGAGGATCCAGCGATTTATGATAAGTTTCCGAACAAATGTCGCGGCGGAACACGAGATCTCAATTGATGTGTGGGGTAATATTTGTATATTATTTATATAAAAAACACTCCTCAATTTTCGAGAAATTAAGAAATTGTACATTTCTTTTACTCTATTAATGAATCTCTCCCTGAGGGAACGTTATATTAATAAATGTAATCCTAAAAGTGTCGCTGCCCATGAAAAGAGATTTCAGTAAATAAGTTATTTACCGAAACCTCTTGTTTATATAATATTTGCATCTCTTACACTTATATAATGAATACCTCGACAAGGATTTCAAAACACACGTGCGTGACATTTTCTATTTATCGTATATATCGTGCGTTCCATCTACGAGCGTAACCATTTTTTTCCCCTTTTTTTTATTAATCCCGACGATTGCACGGCGATCGCAGGATCGTTTTCTCGTCCAAGGACGATGCATCAAGGATCCTCCCGCGACGGGAAAGTCTCCGTAAACGGGCCGTGATTGTTATTGCAAGCGCGATAGATCCTTTTAAGAGAGGAGAGATTATTTTTCTTTTCAAAATGCGAAATATAAACTTGGAAACGCGCGATATATAGCATAATTGCGAGTCAAGGAAAGCTCATTATCTCTCCACGAGGATACAGTCGAAAATTATCCTCTCCTTTATTCAGAACGTTAATGAGCGGGAAAAAAATTGAGACAATGGATATGAATCTCCCAGAGTTTCATCTTCGTAAAAATATATTAGAGAATGTAATTTTCTTCATTTATCAGATATTATCATAGTTATCGAGGTATAATGGTTCATTCATTTTATAATTATATTCCGAGAATTAAGAATCATTATAATTGCATTATTTCTTTCAGATTATTAATTAAAATTATTTATTATTTAATATTTTTTAAAATTTAAAACGATATTTTTTCAAGATTATTTCGTAGAATATAAAATGATCAAGCTCACATTTCGATAATTATTTCTTTCTTAATATTCTTCATAATTATTTCTCTATAATTATTTCTTTCTTAATATTTCGATAATTAGTTCTGCTAAACGATAGGTTAATTTTTTATTTCACGCAGCTCGATAATACTCGAAAGAAAAAACTAATTTTTTTATCATTCTCGAAACAATCATCGTAGATTTCTATGATTAAAGAATGTTATTAACGCGTGCGTCATATAATTCAAGCCAATTGCATTTTTACATTAGAAGAATGGAAATTATCATAATTTCAGTTTTGAATAATCGTTTCGTTTAAAGAGAGAGGCTCGCTCTTTTTTCCTTATCATTGCTAATAATTTAAACGACACATCACGCGATGATGGTACTCGAATATCAAACGATACATTTGCATAACGACACTTGTGAAAAATTCCGTCATTATGCAAATGATCCCTCATTAGTCGATAGACAAAAGTCACCTGCAAACAAAAGCTGAGATACGAGACGCAGTAGCTTCTTCTTATCGTGACTTCTCTTATCTCGTCTCACGGATGCTGCGCAGCAAATCTGAAATCATTTCCAAGCATCACATCGTGCGATATTAAAATATTTTTCTAATTAAATAATTAATATCATATCTTTTATTAATATTATATTTTTTAATTATTTAATTAATATATTTTTTAATTACTATATTTTCAATTTTAATAATTTTTATTTTTTAATTATTTTTTAATTTTCGTTTTTATTTTTAATAATTTTTTAATTAAATTAATTTTTATTTAAACTTGATGAAAATTATTTTTTTACATTCTGTGCCTTTGCATAATTAATTATAAGTATGAATTAATTTAAATACGAGTTTAAATAGGAGTCGAGTCCTTAATCGAGAAAATCATTTGGGTATTGTATTAAAAAAAAATTGGACGTTACATTACGCGTATTCAGCGACATTTCGGGATTGAAATTCAAGTTGTGGTTTCTTGCCGTAACTCCGGGTTCAATTTCCAATCCCTCTGGCATCTTGTGGACCGCGAACAATCGAGGTGACGAAATGTGCAAAAGTTCATTGGGTCTGAGGATTCGCTCGGGCCAATCGAGGAATTCTGCCTTCTAATTCTATCCTGCGGTTACACCTAGAAATGATGGCAATTCCCCGACGGCAGGCATTGAACCTTTCACCTATCACGGCAGCAATATCGCTTCTCCGGCCGATCCCTTCATGCTCTATGCCTTCTGTTGCAGGCGATGGCTGCGGGAACAACATGTTCAGGTGCAACGACGGCAGATGCATACAGTCGATCCTCGTGTGCGATTATCGCGGGGACTGCGACGACAATAGCGATGAGATGCAGTCGTGTCGTAAGTATCGGAGAATCCTTTCCTTGTCGTTGACCTTAAAATAGCCGGGATTAGACATCATAGTTTTTATTACCGCCTCGCGGTAGTCGGAAAATTAATAGTCGTGTTGTTACGACTCGAGATACATTGGAAATACCGCAGAATCTCAAGGAAACACTTGTAGAGATAATTCTTCTTTGTGCGAGATTGAAATCGATTCGCAAACTATTAGTCTTGTTCGAAGAAAATACTTTGGAAAACGCAACACTTATAGTCGAGTTTGCAATTTGCATAAATTAAGTTCTATAAATGTTCCATAAGTTGCTACTGTGTCGCAGATGAGAGAGGTAATTATTGCGATGCATCCTGTTTAAACGCAAAGTATTCGATATTCCTTGGTGACAAGACTTGTCGCGCTTTATTATATCATTATGTTTAGCTTTATTTTACACATTACATCATATTCTCCCGTAATATCGATAAATATATAGTTTGAGCAACTAGATTTTCGAGGAAATTGGAGCATGTCTTCGAACGTGCAATTTAATCGGAAGGAATGCTCCACTACTTGCGCTGATGAATAATTAATGATGAAGTGCTTCGTTAAGTAATAATAAAGAGGGATGCATGTATAATTCTCGATCGCCCGCTGCCCCCAATACTCGGTTCGCGGTGAAAGAACTTTCAGAATGAAGCCATCGCCTTCATTCACTACTCCCACCGTCAAGTATGTAATGGTCTTACATGATACGTTATGGCCTAATGGATATCCTAGGGAGAGACCCGCGCGCGATAATATCAAAAATAATATTAAAAAAAGTATTATTTTTTAATTATTTTCAATATTATTTTCTAATTTCTATTTCTTAATTTTTTCCATATTTTTCCATATTTTTTAATTTTACCTATATTAATTAAAAATAATTATATATTAATTTTCCATATTTTTTAATATTACCTATATTAATTTTTTCCATATTTTTTAATATTACCTTTAATTTTTAATATCTTTTTCACAGGACTTTTATCGTGTTGTAAAAAAAGATTGAATCTTGGACTTTGAATGAAAATCAAGAGGCGAAGATGAAGTTTGCAAATAATCTGACGTTTGTTAGTCAAATTTTCTAGGAAGATTTGGGATTTTTTGGGGAGGCTACGGGAATCTTGTTCAACCAAACTGTTGAATTCGATTTTGAAAGTAATTTTACGTAAGTGTGATCGCGGCCTTGGAGCGAGTCTCGCATTTTTGAGCTCTCTTCCTGTTTGCCCACCGATCCGTTCCAACGAATGGAATAAACTCGAGCTCTGTAATGTCTGGTTTACAGCTGGAGTCTCTCTCGCGTGCCGGAAGTGCCTCGACGAAAATCCGAGGCTTCCTCTCGGAAATGCTTGGTCTCTTTGTTTTTTTTTTTTTTCATGTGATCGATTACGTGACCGCTTTTTGTGATTGCGCTCCTTATCATGAGATTTACATTGCAGGAAGTGTAATGCAATTTGCGCGCTGCAAGGATGAACCAATGTCACTTGGGGACTAGGAAAACGGAAGGAAGAAATCTCTCGATTGTTTAAAACGTCAATGTTTCAAAATGTCTCCTCTTTTTGGGAGAAATTTTTAAAAATAACGCAAAATTTCTAAAAGAATCTTCTAAAAGAATCTCTAAAAAGACTTCGGTCTTAAGATCTTTTTTTGTCATATTTCTAATGCACGGATTTTGCGAATATATATATTTTTTCTATAGATTAAAAATTTTTTTTACGAAAGATATTGGTCGCATTAGTTTCCTCTGGGAAGTTTGCTCTCTTCCTAGATCGCTGCTTCGCAGCGGCCGTTTGTTATGCGGGTGACAACGCAAAACCGGAAGCAAGGCTATGACCCTCTTTCGAGGACGGCGTGCTAAAGTGCCGCGTGTCATTCGATGAAACGGACCCACTGGCACGGTTGTATCTCGTTTTGCTCGGTGAATCGGTTCCAATCTCGCGAACTAGACGGACCGTCTCGTTCGATATCCATCTCTCTTTCGCCGATCGTTTTCATCCGCTTAATCTCGCCAATCTCGTTTTTCGATTTACCAGAATTCACTCCGAAACTCGCTTCACGAGTGGACGTAATTTGTGTTAATCTTTAAAGTAAGAGTCAGATTTCAAATTTATAATTTTATAGAAAGTCCCATCCGAAGATGCGAGAAAGAAATGTCTTGATGGTATGATTTGGGAAAGAGGTAGAATTGGAGCGATTGGATCCCATCGCAGCGGCACGATTGTCGGACCATCCGGTAATAAATGATCGGGGGAGCTTCCCTCGGCGAATCGACGACCGGCTGATTTTATGCCGGTGCAATAATAGCATCGGCGCGATCTGTTGCACGAGCGATTCTTCGTACGTTGCTGCTGCAGCTGGAATTTTCAACAGCACTTGTGACATCCTGCGAACCCCTTTTTAGACCTTATCAGCATGACATTCCTTTTTATCTGCGTAAGAAGAATATTCAAGGAAATAGCTTCCTCTTTCACGTCTGCAAAGTATCACGAATCTCTGATGATGAAGACAATGGGAATTGTTAGAGACATATTTTGGGTGTCTAAAGGAAATTAAATAATTCAAGACGCGAACGGTTATAGTAATTAAGGCGGCCATTGTGTGCAAATATTGAGCTAATCAAATAAAAAGAGCTTGGGGTCTCGAGCCAAGATCAATGTATCACATTAAGAATTAACAAAGTCATTCTGATGTTTGACATTCTCATTATTGCAGACACAGATTAATTTCTTAATTTCTTAATTTTTTCATTTGATTACAGCACCGCCTGATTGCGACGTCGGCCAGATCACGTGTGGCCAGTACAGTTTCAACAAGACATACTGTATACCTCCGCATCAGCGATGTGACATGACCGTCGATTGCGTCGATGGCACCGACGAAGACGGCTGCAGTGAGTACAATTGCAGTCATCCTTACCAGCGTTATTTATTTTTATCATAATTGACTGTCGATTAAAAATACAAAATCCTTGATCTTTGCAAAAATGCACAAATAAGATTCCAAGATAACGCGTATAATCAATTATTTTGCGAATAATTTTACGCAAAATTACATATTCCTCTCTCTCTTCCTGGTCGATATACAAAGGGATGTGCAAAGAAATTTAATTATTAAAAAGCGATCGCGAGAATATTAATCATATATTGTTTCAGAGACATTATCAATTGCAGTAGCGAGCAACATGACACGATAATATTATCGCCAGTATGACAAGGTCGCTCGCATAAGAGCATGACTAAATAGCGGCTGCCTAGCGATTAGGCAAATTCTTCTTCGCTCGTTAGAATCACCAAATTATCAGCGCCGACATTGCGATAACTTATGCGCATGTTATTAAATCGCCGACACTATTACGCTCATCGAGATTGCAAAAATGATGCCTGAAGTTTAAACACGCTGCTGATAACATTACGTCTCTCTATCAACATGTTATTCTAGTATTAAAAAAATGAGCGTGTACTTTGTAATCGCTTACCAATTAATTCATGGAAATGACGTTTCTGAGAATAACAGAGGCAATAATTTTCCTATCAAGACGTCCCGATCGTGGCCGATCGTGATTTTAAAAAGCTCGCAAACTCCCCTTGTCTTTGCCATTCTTATCTTAATATCGCGCGAAACGGGCGAGGAAAGTCACGTTCCGGATTATCGGGCTTATTTCGACGCTGCGAACGTGTCGCAACAGGTGATACAGTCGTGATACAGCGCATTATGGTTCGCAGTTAATGCGAATTATCACGCGAGACTTCAGGTTCGGAGAAGCGTGATCAACTCCTGATTGGGCTTTTTGACGTTACGTTATGTAAAAGTAACACGTGCGCTCTGCTCGTCACGTTTCGCTGGCGGAGATGTCTCTATCTCATATCCTGAAGAGGCGATGTTAATTTTCCTTCAATTCTCCACAACTCTTTTTCCTAGATTTTAAATATCCTGCACTGAGAAAAATCGTTTGATTGTATCAACAAGACATGTGATTGAAGACATTTTGGTTAAATCAAACAAGAATTTCTAGTTATGATAAGACTCGATTTTTTATAACCAGAACGTTTAATAGATTTTTATAAAGATTTGGTTAGTATTTTCTGATTGAATCTATAAAATTTCGTGTTACATTAATTTCTTTTCTTGCCATTAGGCAGCGAGCCACTCTTAACTTAACTCGTATTCAATATTTGCCATAAAATGTATATAAAGAACTATTATTAACGTTAAATCCAAAGTATATTTTTTTTCTCTTACGAGCAGTAGTCCAGAAAGAGGACGCTAGCTCTCTGATTGTGTGTTTGAGCTGCATCCTCTTCTTGCATCATTGTTAATCAGTTTAATTTCTAACAAACTGAATTTAAAATAATTTATTCAATAATCTGGGTTGAATTTATCCAATAATTTTGTTGGAATTCAGAATATTAAATAGACTTTTGAGATTAGATGGAAGAAATTTTAGACGACTTGCTGCTGGTGGTTTAGTATTATTAACCAGAAAATTTGGTAAATTTAACAGGAAGAAATTAATCAGATTCATCTGGTAATTCCTACTAGAATTCTGGTTCGTCCATTTTCCAATAGACATACTGGTTGAATCTACCAGAATTCTAATTAATACAACCAGATTTTTTTTCTCAGTGTGGAAAAGATAACGCTATTTATCTTAGTATTTTTATTCAAATGTCAGGCAAACTTGATGATCGAATTACAAAATAGGGGAGGCATTTTTCCATTTGATGAAAGGTGAAGAAATGGCAGGAATTTGCTTGGGTGTGTTGCAGCGTACAGGAAATGCCAGCCGGACGACTTCAGATGCGTCGGGACCACCCCGGAGCTCTGCATACCCAAAGAGAAGAAGTGCGACGGTTATTTGGACTGCCGGAACGGCAGGGACGAGGAGAGATGCGAGAACAACATGAAGCCGGCCTGCCGATTGGATCAATTCAGGTGTAACACCACGCAACGCTGCGTCGAGCAAAACGTGAGGTGCGATCACCGGGACGACTGCGGTGACAACAGCGACGAGGATCACTGCAGTGAGTTGGCTTTTTTCCTCTCTAGCTTCTTTTTTGCAATACAGTCTGCGGTTTGTCCCTCTGTCGCTATTCTTGCCTTCAGGTTTCACGCAATTTCGATTTACATTCCATTTTCTTTCCTTACTCTTCTTTCGTCTAGTTCTAATATTTCATTTTAATCATATTGAGAGGAAAAGAAATGTATCCGGATACTTTTGACTTGAGGGAAATGTAATTGTTTTGCGGAATTGAAGTTCAACTTACGATCCTTTCAAATCGATTATCAATTAATTAGAATCTTTGGTGGTTTGCAGATTTTCCGCCCTGCACCAGTGACCAGTTTCGATGCGCCAATGCACTCTGCATCCCTATAGCGTATAAATGCGACGGTTATAAAGATTGTCAGGATGGATCCGACGAGGAGTCTTGCACAATGACAGTTTGTCCGGGAAACAAGTTTATGTGCCCAAAGGGTGCGAATGGAAAGCCATTATGTATCAATCGATCCCAGCTGTGCGATGAAAAGCAAGACTGCGAGGATGGAGCGGATGAGGGAGCAACATGTTGTAAGTATATTTGTTCATCTTATAAAACACTAATATAAAATAATCACTCATCACGTGTATCTAAAAGATCTATTGTTTTCCTTTTTTTTTTTAATAATAATAGCGGTTATATAAATCATTACTAGTTATATAAATCTTATTCGTAATCGACGCGAAAAGCAATTAATGTACAACATGAAAACAAATTAAAAAATAATTTCTTTATCGTATAGCGATGAGCATGTGTGATTCTCTTGGCTGTCAACATAAATGTCAAGCGTCCCCCATTGGAGGGACTTGTTATTGTCCCGAGGGAAGAATCCTCGCCAATGATTCGCGGACGTGCATCGGTGAGTAATTTAACTTATGAGAAATTTACACAAAAATTTATTCAGTAAATTATATATAAAATCTACTTCCCCTGTATTTTTTTTCCATCTCCAGATCGAGACGAATGCTCCGAGTGGGGCTTCTGCGAGCAGCTGTGCGAGAACACGGATGGTTCGTACATATGTCACTGCGCGTCCGGTTACATTCTTCATGGGCGCAACAAGTGTCGTGCCCAGAACATCTCTGTCTTGGAGCTTCTTCTCGCTCAGGACCGCGCGGTGTGGCGTTTGAGCGCGACTGGCGAGGATCGCAGGATAATCGCAAACACCACCGGCGCCAGTGGGATAGACTACCTGTACTCGCGGAATTTGCTCTTTTGGAGCGACACGAAGACGCGCAAGGTGCACTCGGAATCCTTCTACGGCAACGGCGAGATACCTAAGGTGGACATTAGCATGGCGGGCTCCTGGGGACCCGTGTCTATCGCGGTAGATTGGATCGGCGAGAAACTCTACGTGGTGGATTCCATCGTGCAAAAGATAGACGTGTTCGAGTTGAACGGACGTTATCATGGAATCGTTGTGGGTTCCAATCTTACCAGTCCGGCCGACATCGCGCTGGATCCCACGAGAGGCGTCATGTTCATCGCTGATAGCAAACAAGTTCTTCGTACTAACATGGACGGTACTAATGCGTTTCCTGTCGTTTCCGAAGCGGCTTACAAGGTCTCCGGTGTGGCCGTGGATATCATCGCCAAGAGGATTTACTGGTGCGACTCTCTGCTGGATTATATTGAGACGGCGGACTACAGAGGCCACAACAGGATCATGATTCTCAGAGGTTTACAAGTGCCATCCCCAATCAGACTTACCCTCTTCGAGAACAGAATATTCTGGACGGACGGCACCAAGCAAGCCGTCATGAGCGTCGATAAAACTCAAGGAAATTATTCTATCCAAAGTGTGTTTAAGGTAAAAACATGATAAATAATTCAATAAATTTACTTATGCATGAGTGCGTATTGTACGAAACTATTTAGCATATGCTTTAGCAACAAAATGAAAATGAAAGTCAATTTGATTATCTGCTATTCGGCTAATTAATTCTTTCTCGAATTAATTCGTGATGATCAAATATTAAGTATATCAATAGCTATTATTCTTTTTTTATTGGAAAGTGAGAAAATTGATAAAGATTCAAAAGATTTGTATTTATATTGTAAGTCAATTTGATTACCTGCTATTCGGCTAATTAATTCTTTCTCAAATTAATTCATGATGATGAAATATTGATTATATCAATAGCTATTCTTTTTTTTTAGAAAGTGAAAAAATTGATAAAAATTCGAAAGATTTGTATTTATATTTGTAGTGTTCAATATTATAATGTTTATTATAATAAATTGTCTCTCTTTCAGGTACGCGACGCCAAAGCTATAAAAGCCTTGCACCCGCTCTTACAACCTTACAGTGTTTCTAATCCTTGCGGCAATAACAACGGTGGTTGTCAGCATATGTGCATCGTTACTGCCTCGAGCGATCAAAGCAATCGATTAGGTTATCGCTGTGCCTGCCACATCGGATGGCGATTAGCAAGCGACATGAGAAATTGCAATTTGGTGCAAGAGTTCCTCATGTATTCCCAGCAGAGATTTATTAAAGGCCGCGTTCTCAATCCTGTAATGGAAGGCTTTAGTGATGCCATCCTACCGGTGGTATCCAGACGGGCACGATTCGTTGGATTGGACTATGATGCGTACGATCAATATATATATTATAGCGATGTCCTTCAGGATGTCATATACAGGGTACACCAGAACGCAACTGGACGGGAAATTGTTTTGGCTAGCCAAAACGAAGGAGTGGAAGGACTTGCGGTCGACTGGGCTGCGAAAAACTTATATTACATTGATTCGCGTAAAGGTTCGTTAATAATAAATAAATAATAATAAATAATAATAAATAATAAATTAATTAATAATAAATGTTTATTATTAATTTTCAAGTTAAACAAATTAATTTATGATATCAATTTTTGATAATTGATAGAGAGAATTATAAAAAGCAAGATTTATATTTAGCTGATTAGAACTTTTTATTTTCCACAGGCACGCTAAATGTACTCAGTACTCGAAACGTCACATATCGACGAACACTATTGAAGAATCTTAAGCGTCCTCGTGCGATTGTGATTCATCCAAATCACGGTTACATCTTTTTCTCTGAGTGGGATCGTCCGGCTAACATTAGTCGAGCTCACGCCGATGGCTCCAACTTAGTCGTTTTCAGGAATCTGACCCTAGGTTGGCCGAACGGACTGGCAATAGACTTTAATAAAGATCGATTGTACTGGTGCGATGCCCTCTTGGATCACGTGCAGCACTCGAACTTGGACGGCACGGATGTACGTACAGTGAATTCCAGATTGATACGACATCCGTTTTCCATCGCGATCCACGAGGACTGGATGTACATTACCGATTGGCGTCTCGACGCTATTATCCGACTGCATAAAGAGACCGGCGAGCAGGAGGCTATCTTGGTACGCGAACCCGCTACCAACAGACTTTACGGTGTGAAAGTCTTCAGTCGAGAGATTCAAATAATGATGATTAGTCATCCTTGTACTATTAATAACGGTGGTTGCGAAAAGCTTTGTTTCGCTATTCCGGATAATTCTTCACACTCTGACGGTATCGTATTTCCTGATATACAATCCATACCACCGAGGCTTATTCAAGTATGCGGATGTCCTTACGGAGAACGTCTTCAGGACGATGGCAGAAGTTGTGCCGCGGATCCTGACGGGGAACCACCCTTACAGGCTTGTCCTCATACTTGGGATTTTACTTGCGCAAATCAAAGGTAATATAACGAGATATATTTGCTACAAAAATATGCAACGAAAAATAGAGGGTTCCATTTAAAAAAATGCACTTCCGGTCTGAATCGCCTACTTTCGGCCGAACCAGAAGTTGAAAATATCACCATTCGATAGAACGCACCCGATTTATAAAGAAAATGTTTTTACTTTTTCGAAATAATCACTTCTCTAGTTTTTAAATGGGTGGTCTGAAACACCCTGTATATAATTGCAACAACTTTTGACATTTAATTCTTAACCGATTTGTTTTCAGATGTGTTCCAAAGTCTTGGGTATGCGACGGCGAAAATGATTGTTTAGATAACAGCGATGAAATGCAAAACTGTACAAAACCGACATGTAGCACAAACGAATTTCAATGTAAATCCGGTCGTTGTGTACCAATGACATTCCATTGTGATACCGAAAATGATTGCGGCGATTATAGCGACGAAGTGGGCTGTCCTAATGTTACTTGCAGCGCTAATCAATTCGCCTGTGCCAACAACCGTTGTATCCCCGCGACTTGGAAGTGCGATTCTGAAAACGACTGCGGCGACAGTTCCGACGAAGGCGAATTCTGCGCGATGAAGACTTGCTCGTACTTTCAATTCACTTGTCCGCGTTCCGGTCATTGTATACCACAATCTTGGGTGTGCGACGGCGATAGTGATTGCTTCGATCAGCAGGACGAGATGGACTGCCCACCAGTTACTTGTCTCAGTACGCAGTTCACATGTGCAGATCAAAAGATGTGTGTTTTAGCGTCGTATAAATGTGACGGTATTAGTGATTGCAATGATGGATCTGATGAAGTGGGCTGTCCTTCACTAGCACCGGATCAGTGCAATGTCGATAAGCAATTCCGATGTGTAAGTTCAGCAATTTGTATACCAAGGAGTTGGTACTGTGACGGTACTGCGGATTGTCCAGATAAATCTGATGAACCGGAGACATGCGGAAAGGTGGATTGCCAGACTGGATTCTTTAGGTTTGTGGTATTTTTTAAATTAAATTTTTGCATTTTTATTCTTAGACAACTTGAGCACGAAAAAATGTTTATTTTTTATTCGATTCAATCGATCCAAGATAATCTAACTTGATTGAATATTTCACAGATGCCGAAACGAGAGATGCGTGTTCAAGGCATATATTTGCGATGGTAAGGACGACTGCGGAGATGGTTCCGACGAGGACACTGAACTACATGCATGCGGTCCTCCTGCATTCAAATGTGAATCCCAGCAGTGGAGCTGTCCAAACGTGACAAATGTTTGTGTAAATGTGAGCACCGTGTGCGATGGCAAATTGGATTGCCCAAATGGAGCAGATGAAGGACCCGGTTGTGATTTTGCCGAGTGCAATCATCAGAGTGGATTATGCAGTAACGGCTGCATCCGAACTCCGCTCGGAGCGCAATGTGTTTGTCCAGCTGGCGAGGAGCTCACCAGTGATGGCTACACGTGTCAGGATATGAATGAATGCGAAACGCCGGGAAGATGTTCGCAAATTTGCGTCAACACCAAGGGTAGCTACTTTTGCAACTGCGTCGACGGTTACACGTTACAGAAAGATAAGCACACGTGCAAGGCGTATAATCACACTACGGCGTTCCTGATTATCTCCAACAGACATACTATTTTGGTGGCTGATCTTCAGGAGCAAGCATTAGAACGAGTTCCTATCAACGTGGAGAATGTTGTAGCCACTGCCAGTAACATGCATACTGGTACCATTTTCTGGTCTGACATGAAATTGAAACGAATTTCGCGATTGGATCGCGGTAGCGATCCTCAAGATATCATCAGTACCGGTTTAGATTTAGTGGAAGGTCTCGCCTATGACTGGATAGGTCAAAATTTGTATTGGTTGGATTCAAAGCTAAATACAATTGAAGTAGCTAAAGAGACTGGAATTGGAAGAATGATTCTCGTTAAGGAGAATATTACGCAACCGCGTGGAATGTGTTTGGATCCCAGTCCAGGTGCCAGATGGCTCTTTTGGACCGACTGGGGTGAGAATCCTAGAATCGAAAGAATCGGAATGGATGGCACTAATCGATCAACTATCATCAGCACGAAGATTTATTGGCCTAACGGTCTGGCTTTAGATATTGCAAATCGTAGAATATATTTTGCGGACAGCAAATTAGACTTTATTGATACCTGTCTTTACGACGGCAGTAAGAGAATCCAAGTTTTAGCTGGCTCACATTATTTATTGCATCCTCACTCGCTTACGCTCTTTGAGGATACTATGTATTGGACTGATAGGCAGCTCAATCGAGTGCTTTCTGCGCATAAATTCAAAGGTGTTAATCAGACGGTGGTTTCCCACTTAATCTCACAACCGCTTTCCATCCACGTACATCATCCAGTATTACAGCCTATCACTGTGAATCCTTGCGCTAACGCATCTTGTGAACATCTGTGTCTTCTATCGCCCAGTAATCCAATGGGTTACAATTGCAAGTGTCAGGTAAGAAATTATTATTATATAAGATAAAAAGATTTTTAAACATTATCTACATTGAAAATATAATATTTGTTTTCTTTCTGTTTATTCTAGATTGGATTCAAATTATTGCCCGATGGACGATGTTTGGAAGAAGAAACGCCATACTTGATGGTCCTCCGAGGCTCTCAGGTCGTCGATGTTTCCTTGACACCCGGAGAAACTAAAACTGGATATATTACACCTATTGTTGGTGTGGAGGGCGGAAGATTTATTGATTATGACAGAAGTGCTCGTAAGATTTATTGGCTGCAAGGTATGAATGCAAAAAAAAATATTTATTTCTTTTATTGTACTCTTCACTCATGTCTTACATAAATTTAATTTTTTCGCAATAATACCTATTACCTAATAAATGTATCTTTTTGCATAAATATCTATGTATTAGATTTCAATTGGTCTTTCTCTTACGTTTTTCTGTACTGATTTATTGCATATCGTCAAATTTCTTATTTTTTTAAATTTCTTTTTTAATTTTCTATTTTAATATTTAATATTTTAATATTTAACTTTTTATTATTAAAATTTCTAATTAAATTTTCTAATTTAATATTTTATATTTTAATTTTTAATTTTTTTATTATTAATCAAAATATATTTTAATACTTTTAGGTAAAGACGACGACAGCGAAAATGGTACAATTTATAGCATCTCTTACAGAGGTGAAAATCGAACGGAATTTCCCAATCCTTCCGGCAACACTGGTATTGTCGGTTCGCCGTCCACCATGGCGCTAGATTGGCTTGGTCGCAATATGTTTATCGGCAATAAGTTTGCTTCCAACATCGAGGCTATCAAATTGGACGACAAGGCGCGATACCGCACGATTGTTTTGGCGAATGACGGCAGCCGAACATCGGTATCCAAGCCAAAAGCGATGTGCGTGGACCCCATTGACGGAGTAGTATTTTGGGTAGACGAGGGAGGCTTCGGAGTACCGCAGAAAATTGGACGAGTGAATATGGATGGCAGTAATCCATTGATCCTCATAGAAAAAAATTTGGAGCGTCCTGAAGCTCTCATCATCGATCTTACTAGCAAAACACTATACTTTTCCTCTCAAAATCCAGCTTTCATCAAATCCATGTCGACGGATGGTCAGAACGTCCGCACTATTCTTACTACCGCAAACAATATGGCATTACCCAAGGCATTAGCCGTCCACGATTCTCGTCTCTATTATTTGGACCCGCAATACGAGAAGATCGAACGTGTCGATCTACCTAACGGCGATAATCCGATCACTATCATTGATAACGATTCTGAACTTCGCACCTTGACAATTTATAAGAAACGTGCCATTGGACATCATCCTTGTCTTAACAACAACGGTGATTGCGATCAGCTCTGCTTGCCTGCGTCCGGAGGTACACGTGTCTGTGCTTGTGGAATGGATTATAGAAAGGTCACCGATACCAAATGCGAGCCTTACAAGACATTCGCGGTCGTAACTCAGTTGGATGTCGCTAGAGGTTACAGTCTCAAAGACTCCAAAGAGGCCATGATACCCATCGCTGGAGTTGGTCATCATATTCTACACGTGGACGTACATTACGCGGGCAATTGGATATATTGGGTGGAATTTAATCGAGGCATTTGGAACGGCATCTTTAGGTAAGATGATATTAATATTATTATTTATTTTTAACGAAAAAAAAGATTTTTCGTTAAAGCAACTTTGTTATAAAATTATTTAATACAACATCTAAATATATACGATACATTCGATTTATATTTCAGAATACGACCCAACGGCACAGAGTTGCAGCAGATAATCAAACAAGGAATTGGTTCCAATGGAATCCGCGGTCTAGCCGTAGATTGGATCGCAGGAAACTTATATTTCGCCAATGTCTTTCCTCATGATAATTATGTAGAGGTCTGTAGGTTGGATGGCTCCCATCGAAAAGTTCTCGTGAAGACGACTACTGATTCTCCTCGAGAGCTTGCCGTGAATCCAATCAAACGATACCTGTATTGGATCGATTATGGACAATATCCTCGAATAGGCAAGGCATTCCTCGATGGTAGCAACTGGTCTCCTATCGTAACATCCGGTATAAGCACACCTCGTGATCTGACGATTGATTTTGCTACGCACGATATTTATTGGGTGGACTCGAAATTGGACACTATCCAAAAAGTTTCTTACACTGGCGGAAACCGAGAGATTATCCGTAGGAATCTTCCAAATCCGATGGGCGTCGCCATCTTCGGTGGTGACGTCTATTGGGTAGATAGAAATTTGGCTACTGTTTTCAAGGCGAGCAAACTGAAGGCGAGCAACATTAGTCTTCCCACCCCTGTCAGGACGAATCTCCAAAAGCTCAGGGATATCGCTATCTTTGATCAAAGCAGTCAACCGCCAGATCTTACGAATCCTTGCTCGCAGGTATTGTAATTTTATATGCATTTTTTTTTTATTTAGAAAGAAGCGAAACTTCTTTAAAAAAAATTTAAACTTTATTTTTATAAAAGGAAAACTAATGGAAATAATTTTTACCTCAGGTATTAAACAACGAATGCTCTCAACTATGCTTCGCTTTCCCGAAGGAGAATCCCACATCATTTACCTGTGATTGTGCAGTGGGTAAACTTTCGTCCGATAATCACACTTGTGAAAATGTCGAAGAATATTTGGTATTTGCTACGCGAACTGAGATTCGCGCTATTAATATCGATCCGCATAATACCAATATACCTTTCACGCCCATCGGAAACTTGACAAATGTAGTCGGAGTAGACTTTGACTATCAAGATAAAAAGCTGCTGTTCACTCAGATCCGTCCTTGGGCGAAAATAGCGTGGACACCATCGGACCGACCATCTTCTGCCGACTTACACACATTGATCAGTAAAGGAATTAACCCTGAAGGCATCTCGTATGATTGGACTCAGAAGAAAGTATACTGGACGGATTCTTCTAATAATAGCATCTACGCGATGGATATTGACGGGTCTAATTTGGTAATGATTGCACGTGTGGATCGGCCACGAGCTATCGTTGTCGACCCGTGCAACGGTTCTCTCTATTTCACGGATTGGGGTCGTTTCGGGACATCCGGAAAGATTTTCAAGGCTACTATGGCGGGATCGCTGAAACGTGCTATTATTGACAAGGATCTTTCGCAGCCCAGTGGTCTGGCGATCGATTATGACGATCGAATGCTATATTGGACCGATGCTGTGCGTGAGAAGATCGAACGGTCCGATCTCGAAGGCAACAACAGAAAAATTCTTATCAGCGCTACCATCTATCCTTTCGCCATCACTGTCTTCAGAGAGCACATATATTGGACGGATCTCCAGCTTCGTGGAGTTTACCGAGCGGAAAAGTACACGGGAGCCGACAAGATCGAGTTGGTGAAACGACTAGAGGATTCCCCGCGTGACCTTCACATTTTTTCTGCGTCCAGGCAACAATGCACTGTTAATCCTTGCAATATTAATAAGGGCGGTTGCGACCAGTCTTGTCATCCGAGCCACAACGGCTCCGCGGAGTGCAAATGCGACGATAACAGCAAACTTGTGAACGAGGACAGAATGTGCGTACCAAAGAATGTCACTTGCGACCCCAACAAATTTTCTTGCAGGAATGGTAGATGCATCTCCAGAATGTGGGCATGCGACGGTGACGACGACTGCGGCGATGGTTCCGATGAGAACACCAGATACTGCTGTGAGTATGAGGAAAATTCACAGCAAGCATTTTCTAGAGATGCAATTTGTTGAAAAGAGATTTGTGCGCTGAGAAAAAATCTGGTTGCATTAATTAGAATTCTGGTAGATTCAACCAGCATGTCTGTTGAAAAATGAACGAGAACTAGAATTCTTGTAGGAATTACCAGATGAATTTGATTAATTTCTTCCTGTTAAATTTACCAAATTTTCTGGTTAATAATATTAAACTCATTTTTTCCATCTAATCTCAAAAGTCTGTTTAATATTCTGAATTTCAACACGATTATTGCATAAATTCAATTCAGATTATTGAATAAATTATTTTAAGGTCAGTTTGTTAGAAATTAAACTGATAAACAGTAATGCAAGAAGAGGATGCAGCTCAAACACACACAATCAGAGAGCTAGCGTCCTCTTTCTGGCACTACTGTTCGTAAGAGAAAAAAAATATACTTTGGATTTAATGTTAATACTAGTTCTTTATATACATTTTATGGCAAATATTGAATACGAGTTAAGTTAAGAGTGGCTCGCTGCCTAATGGCAAGAAAAGAAATTAATGTAACAAGAAATTTTATAGATTCAACCAGAAAATACTAATCAAATCCTTATAGTAAAATTTATTAAACGTTCTAGTTATAAAAAATCAAGTCTTATCATGATAACTAGAAATTTTTTGATTTAACCAAAATGCCTTCAATCATATACGTCTTGTTGATACAATCAAACGATTTTTCTCAGTGTGGATTTTCATGTTTTAGCTTATCATTCGTGCAGCCCGAATGAATTCCGCTGCAACAACGGCCGATGCATCTTCAAAACGTGGAAGTGCGATCACGAAAATGACTGTCGTGATGGTAGCGACGAGGAAGGGTGCGTCTATCCACCTTGCGCAATGGGCGAATTTACCTGCGCCAATTATCGTTGCATACCGCAGTCTCAGGTGTGCAACGGCATCAACGATTGTAAGGACAATTTCACTTCCGATGAGACACACGAGCGCTGTCCTCGCAACACAACATGTCCGCTGAATCATCTCAAGTGCGAAAAGACGAACATCTGCGTGGAGCCTTATTGGCTCTGCGACGGTGATAACGATTGCGGTGACAATAGCGATGAGAATCCGATTCATTGCGCCCAGAGAACTTGTCCCCAAAACAGCTTCCGATGTCCCAATCACAGGTAAAATTTTGTATTCGATAATTTTAATAATATATTTTTCATAGGTATCAAAACATGTGATGAATAAAATTATAAATAAAAGTTTGTTTAAATTTTTTTTTATAAATTAGACCGTTTAAAGAGGCCTTAATAAAAATGTATCTGTTATATGTAGGTGCATTCCAGCTACTTGGTATTGCGATGGAGATGATGATTGCTTGGACGGAAGCGACGAGCCTCCTGGTTATTGCCAATCCGAGGGGAGAACATGTTTTGGCGATTTGTTCACCTGTGATAACGGCAACTGTATTCCCAGAATTTACATCTGCGATGGAGACAACGATTGTCTCGATAATTCAGATGAAGATGAACGTCATCAATGCAGTAATTAATTGATTGCTTTATTCAAGACTTGATTTTACTTATAATAATTATATGTTAAATTATTCTTTAATTTCTGTATTTCTAATAATATTAAATTATTTTTTATTGTGCTTTTTATTATGTTTTGATAAATTAATTTTTTTAGACGACAGAAAATGCGACGAAGAAACGGAATTCACTTGCACGGCGAACAAAATGTGGAACCGCGCCCAATGCATTCCAAAGAAGTGGCTGTGCGACGGAGATCCGGACTGCGTTGACGGGGCTGATGAGAACGTGACTATACATAATTGTCCAAGTCCACCCACCTGTGGCGAAAATCAGTTCACCTGCAACAATGGACGATGTCTGAATCGTAATTGGATGTGCGATCATGATAATGATTGTGGTGACGGTAGCGATGAGGGCAAGATGTGTAACTCTCATTATAAATCCTGCATTAACAACCAAGAGTTTACTTGTCAAAACTTTAAATGCATACGCAAGCAATTCCGCTGCGACGGCCAGGATGATTGCGGCGATTATTCGGACGAAGTCGGATGTCGTAAGCATAATTTATAACACTAACGTATCATATCAATACATAAAAAGGAGAGAGAATTATGATTAATTCTTCAAATTGTGTAAAAAAAAATTTCTAGTTTAAATAAATTCAAATATCTAAATGAATGTTTATAAATTATCTTAATATCGCTAGTCAATTAATCAAAGGATCATTGGAAATAATGTAATCGACCAAAACTAGCTAGAATTTTTGTTTATTAATTACAAAAAATTAATAAACAAAAATTAATTAATAAACAAAAGTAATAAACAAAAATTTTGGCTAGTTTTGGTCGATTACATTATTTCCAATGATCCTTTAAATGAATGTATTCTCAATCTTTTTTTTGTCGTGGAAAAAATCGGAATATGATTAATGAAAATGATTATTACTCCCTTTTCAGCATCTAGAACAAAGAATACAACGTGTCCGAATCCCAAGGATTTCATGTGTGCAAACGGTAATTGTATCGACTCGCAACTGGTATGCAACAAGGTATCAGACTGCGCCGACGATAGTGACGAGCCGCTGCACTGCAACGTGGACGAGTGCGCTCATATCGAGATGAATCAGTGCGGACATAAATGTGTCGACACCCCGACCAGCTTCTACTGCGAATGCAATCCTGGTTACAAACTGTTGGCCGATGGCAAGGCCTGCGACGACATCGACGAATGCATTGAAACGCCTCAAGTGTGCAGCCAACAGTGCGAGAATACGCCTGGCGGATATTACTGCAAATGCAATGAGCGTTGGTATGAAAGAGAAGCCGACGAGCATACGTGCAAGCGCAGAGACAACATTCAACCGTGGGTCGTATTCACGAATAAATATTACGTTAGAAATATGTCGGTCGACGCGTCCAATTATAGCCTGATGCATCAAGATCTGGTTAACGTCGTTGCCCTGGATGCGGATTACGCTCAGCAGATGTTGTATTTCTGTGATGTTACCGCGAAAACAATATATAGGTACGTGTGTCAATATGTTCTTGTTGTTTAACAATAGTGCGAAAATAGATGTCTTTCTTACTAATGAGTTTATTCGCATATAAGCGATTTAATTAATAATAAATAATTAAATTATGAGAATGAATTTAATTATTAAAAAATTTTTTTTATTATTTTTTTTATTTTTATTATTTTTATTATTTTTAAATGAGAACTTTTAACAAATAACAAGTTAAACTTGAAGATAGTATTTGCTATCTTTTTACAAAGATAAACACAATAAACTCTTTTATTTAGAGCACCGGTGAATGGCGGCGAAAGAGAACCCATCATCCGTCATGATAGTTTGGGTCTAGAAGGCATCGCTATCGATTGGATTGGTCGAAAATTGTATTGGCTGGATCGTCATGCGAAGCATCTGGATGTTGCTGAACTCGACGGCACTAATAGGAAGACTTTACAGACTGGAATAGCGGATCCGCGCGCGATTGCGATTCACCCTGGCACTGGATACTTGTACTTTACGTCCTGGCATCTTCAGGTTGGATATTAAACGTCATTGAAATTTTTCGCAAAGAATCATATTGCGTTAACAAGGCTGAATGTGTGAGAACTTTTTTATAATATCATGTTTTAAATTTCAGGCTTATATCGGTAAGATGGGCATGGATGGTAGCAATTTTACTCGAATTCTAACATGGGAGGACGACATCGCTTGGCCGAACGCGTTGACAATCGATTACTTCACCGATCGTATCTTCTGGGCGGACGCACATCTGGATTACATCGCTTTTGCTGATCTCGAGGGTCACAATCGACGGATCGTTCTCTCTGGCTCTTCGGTGCCGCATGTGTTTGCCATCACCGTGTTCGACGACTTTATTTACTGGACCGATTGGAATCTAAAAGCGATTAGCAAGGCGGAAAAGTTCTCCGGTGATCGTTTGAAGATGCTGCGCAACACTACGCATCGACCCTACGATATCCACATCTATCATCCGCTTCGACAGTTGCCCTACAATAATCCTTGCGCCCAGAATAACGGTGGTTGCTCGCATCTCTGTCTTATTGCACCACCCGCTAGTTCGTACCTGCTCGAAGGATACGGCCAGCCTGGTGTCACCACTTACAAATGCAAATGTCCAAATCAATTCATCTTGGATAAGGATGGCAAGACGTGTATAGCGAACTGCACCGCAGGCCAGCATCGCTGCGGATTACCCGACGAGAAGTGTATTCCTTGGTATTGGAGGTGAGATATTAAAATGTACTTAAGTCATGATTTTTTTTTAAAACTTAGGAAGAGAATCACGATAAAAATTGTACGATAGATGCGACGGAGAAAAGGATTGCAAGGACGGTTCCGACGAGTCGACGAGTTGTCCGCCGAGAAACTGTCGATCGGGCATGTTCCAATGCACGAACGGAAATTGTACGCCGAGCGTGACAATCTGCGACGGAGTCGACGACTGCGGTGACAGGAGTGACGAAGCCAAATGCGCGCTCGAATGCGGAGAACTCGAGTTCAAGTGCAAGTCCAACGGTCGTTGCATACATGACTCGTGGAAATGCGATGGAGACGCCGATTGTAAAGACGGCAGCGACGAGGATTCTCTTACTTGTAGTGAGTAGAGTAACCTGCAGTATTCACGATTTATATAAAATGTGCGAGTTCTGAATAATCCATTTTTGTTTCATTTTAATTCATGTCAAACATATTCTCTTTCAGAAAAAGAAAACTGCGATGCGAGTACCGAGTTTAGTTGTAAGAACGGCAAGTGCATTCCCAAACTATGGATGTGCGATTCTGACAATGACTGCGGGGATGATAGCGACGAGCCAGCGTACATGTGTCGTCAGAAGAATTGCACGACCGGATGGCAGCGTTGTCCGGGACACGCAAATTACCGGTGCATTCCAAAATGGCTGTTCTGCGACGGCAAGGATGACTGTCGCGACGGTTCCGACGAGCGTCCGGAAAACTGTCCAAAGTGCGACCCCGATATGGACTTCAAATGCACCAATAATCGGTGTGTGCCGAAGCAGTGGCTCTGCGATTTCGCGGATGATTGCGGAGACGGCAGCGACGAGGCGGAAGTGATGTGCAAGAACAAGTATCGCGAGTGCTCCGAATCGGAATTCAAATGTAAAAACGGCAAGTGCATAGCGTCCAGATGGAGATGCGATAGCGAAGACGATTGCGGTGACAATAGTGACGAGCAGGAATGTCATCGATGGGTGTGCAAGGTATGTGTTATAGCATCACGATACTATACAGGGTGTTTCAGACCACCCGGTACCACCCATTTAAAAATTAGAGAAGTGGTTATTTCAAAAAAGTAAAAACATTTTCTTTATAAATCGGGTGCGCTCTATCGAATGATAATATTTTCAATTTCTGATTCCGGCAGGAAATAGGCGATTTAAACCGAAAGTGCATTTTTTTAAATGAAACCCCCTATTTTTCATTGCATATTCTTGTAGCTTACTTCGAGAGCTTTCCAAAACACTATAATAAATTATTTTTCCATGAAGTACTTTTCGAGTTATGAGGCTTAAAATCATTTCTTAATTTTACATAAACCATAAAATATCTTGTAAAATATTTTATGGTTTATGTAAAATTAAGAAATGATTTCAAGCCTCGTAACTCGAAAAGTACTTCATGGAAAAATAATTTATTATAGTGTTTTGGAAAGCTTTCGAGGTAAACTACAAGAATATGCAATGAAAAATAGGGGGTTCCATTTAAAAAAATACACTTCCGGTCTGAATCGCCTATTTCCGGTCGGAACCAGAAGTTGAAAATATCACTATTCGATAGAGCGCACCCGATTTATAAAGAAAACGTTTTTACTTTTTTTAAATAACCATTTCTCTAGTTTTTAAATGGGTGGTACGGGTGGTCTGAAACACCCTTATGTGTATTTCTTTTACACCAGCTTATTCTTCTTTTACACCAGCTTATTCTTCTTTTGCTTATTCCTCTCGTAGCATGAGAGCTTCCAATGTACCAGCGGCCATTGCATCGCGTCGTATCTTCGTTGCGATGGAGCGCGAGATTGTCGCGACATGAGCGACGAACTTGGTTGCCCGCCCAGATATCCCGGAGGAAAATATTGTCCACAATCCCGATTCGAGTGTAACAATCGTCTCTGCGTCTCGCTCACCGACATCTGCGACGGTACCGACGACTGCGGCGACAATTCCGATGAGAATCCAAGCATGTGTGGTAAGTTCATTACTGACAAGTTGTTTATGTAATAGGAATTAATGTTTTGTATTATTGTGTTTGCGCAGCGAATTTCGAGTGTGACACGCACAGACGATTCCAGTGTGCCAATCACAAGTGTATCGCCAGGTACCAGCTATGCGATGGAATCGACAACTGTGGAGATGCTTCTGACGAGAACAACATGACGATGTGTGTCAAGCACACTCGTCCGTGCGATCCGATCTCGGAGTACACCTGTGCGAATAAGAAATGCATCGCTCGTACAAGACTCTGCGATCTCGCGGATGATTGCGGCGACTTGTCGGATGAATTGGGATGTCGTGAGTTCTATTGGCTTATATTCTTCCACTCTATCATGTCTGTTCTCGATTGAAATCATAGCTTCATTATCGCCTGTTTGCGTTTTTAGATCATACTCATCACTGTTCGATGAACGATCGTGGCGGTTGCGCGCATGAGTGCCACAATATTACGAATGGCGGTTATATCTGTGCCTGTTATCCTGGTTACATAATTTCACCCGATAATCGAAAACACTGCGTGGACGTCGATGAATGTCAGACCGATCAACATCAATGCTCTCATATCTGTACCAATCTGAATGGCTCGTACACCTGCTCTTGCCGGCAAGGTTTCCAATTGTCGGACAGACATAGTGGTGTGTGTCGCGTCGAAGATGATAATATTGTCGTGCTGTTCGCCAACGGACCCGAACTTAGAGCCTACGACTTGCGTGCCAGAGAAGAGATGGATGTGATAGATAATGAAAAGAGAGTGCAAGCCATCGATTTCGACCCCAGATCGGAATTTGTTTTCTGGATTGATTCGTACGACAACACTATTAAGCGATCCTATATGATAAACGCCAAAGAAGGCCAGGCAAAAATTGGACACGCGCAGGATCTCAACATGAAAAGTATATATTATTCAGTTTTCTAGTTGATTAATTAAAAGTGTTCTTATCGTTGTCATAATTGTAGAGATATTTTTAAATCATCTACGGAATGAACAACATAATATTTTAATTTGTAAAATATATTTATATTATTCTCGAGCAAGGTCAATGATATTCGTTAACAATATTAATGTTTGTAGTTGATTCCAAACCAACGAATTTGGCAGTCGATTGGATCTCTGGTAATCTGTACTGGAGCGAGGTTGACCAAACAGTCGTTCCTTCTCAAGGTCGGATCATGATGTCCAAATCGGATGGCCGATATCGACGTATGATAGTCACAACAAACCTCGAGCAACCAACATCGGTAGTCGTGGATCCCGAGCGAGGCGAACTTGTATGGGCTGATGCGGGTACTCAGCCAAAGATCGAAATAGCTTGGATGGACGGCGATAGGCGCAAATTGCTCGTGATTGAACGAATCGCCAGTCCTTCGGCACTTACCATCGATTACGCTATGGAACACACGCTTTATTGGTCGGACGTCAAGCTGGATACTATCGAGGCGATCAATTTGTCCGGTACCAACAGAAGAATCGTCCTGAGAATTGGAGCACCGCGAATTGGAATATTTAGGCATCCGGTGGCATTGGACGTTTTTGAGAATAATCTCTATTGGGTTACCAAACAAACGGGTGAGCTCGTTCGACAAGATAAATTCGGCAGAGGAGTCCCGCATACTATCATCAAGAATATCCCTAGTCCCAGTGGTCTCAGAGTCTATCATCAACTAAGATACAATACCAGTCTAAGAGATCCTTGTCACAATGACCAGTGCAGTCATCTCTGCGTAACGATTCCGGGCGGCCACCGCTGTCTCTGCTCGGGCAACTCCGATCCTCTTCAGCATCTGGTCAGGGATAACGAGAGGCATTGCGATGCCACCAATGAGAGACCCTTGCCAGCGCCCATCGTATGTCGTTGCCAGAATGGCGGACGGTGTGAGGAGGAAGAAGATAAGCTGGCTTGCAATTGCCGGGAAGAATTTCATGGTGAATTTTGCGAGATGGCGGCGGTCGCCGCCAGAGCAGGCGGATCCACTGCTGCTGTAGTTATTCCCATAGTCATATGCTTGCTGATATTGTTCTGCGCTGCCGCGATCTTCATGGTTCTCAAGAAGCGACCATTGTAAGCGTAATAGTCTTAGATACAAGAATACAATTTTATATTAATTTACTTTTATAAAACTCGATTATTATTTCTAGCAGCAAACCTGGTGGCCTCGGTAGTCTTACGGGCGCTCAAAGTGTTTCCTTCCGTCAAGGCAGTAATGTGGAGTTTGGCGAAGCTGCTCACGAAAGGATGGTAAGTTTTTTATTCCGTTTTGTCAATAAATATTTTTGCATTGGAACACATGTTCTAATCGTTTGTTGCTTCACGCTTACAGGAGCCCCTCGACGTAGAGTATAATTTGAACGATGTTGCTCATAAGAATCGAGACTTCAGCAATCCGATGTACGACGCGGTGAATATGGAGAGCGGCACCACAAATGGTACCAGTGTTGGCAACATGTACGAAGCACCAGCAGAGATGAAACCCTCGAGCATGCAGCACAAAGAGCCCCCGCAGTTGAATCTAAAGAGGAGAGAACTGGACCCGACGCCCATCGACTCGGGCAAGGACACCCAGCAGCTGGTCGAGGAGGACAAGTCCGAGTGCTAGGATTAATTGTTTTCTATTGTGCTTCTCGAACTTGAACGCAGATCAACGTGTTTGACGACTGCGAAGAATATATACATAGGGACAAAAAAATTAAATTAGTTTACCACTTCTAAATAGTGCGAATAACTTGCAGCTGCTCGTACGTTATTTATTAAGTTCACTGAGACGTTTTTGACATGATGTGCGACGATTCAATTCAAGTTCTATCCAGTCTTATCCAGAAATCCTCGTATATGAAAATATCGAGATCTCTAGAACATCAAGAGGTTACATATTGTCATGGATATAGGTTCTTAGATTCACGAATTTATAAAAGTTAGACTTGTGTAGAAAATTCTTAAATATTGTTGATTTTTACAATTAAAATTTTATGTTCGTTTTACAATTCTTCTCTTTTAAGACTCTCGAGAATGTGGTTTTTACAAAAATTCACAAGTCTATAATTTTGCACATCCTTGCATCAAAGAACCTTACATAGGTGTTCAACTTCCCAGCTCCTCAGATCTAAGAATCTTTGACCGTAAGTTCTTATCTCTAGATCCTTTATACCAGGAATTGTGAACTGGCTTTAGGATCTTGAAATTTTCCAAGAATATAGAATGACAAACGACAATGGCTGCAAATCGACAGTATCGATTTTGCGAGGACAGTAGGGCGAAAGCGAATTGCAATAGGCACAAACGTGTCATTTTTTACTAGGTGTGTGATTTGTAAGTTTTGTAAATATTATTGCTAATAATAAAGTATAACGCGTTTATGTTATCTGTGTACCATACAAAACGCAACACATTCCACTCTATTTCGAGGTTGCTGCTGGCAAAGTGTAACGATAACGCGGAATACATTTTTTCAATAATTAGGATGTGTATGTACATGTGCGTGCACGCGAACGGTGCTCGAATTGATGATACATTCGATTTTTCGATAATCTCCCGGAACATCTACTATAAAATATTTACTTTGCTTTTTGATATTTTATCTTATCTGTATTATAAAACGCAACAGTAAAAGTATAATGGTGGAAGCAAAATAATTTGTTTTCAATTTTATTTGAAAAAAAAATATTCAATTTAAAAACAATAGCTTAATATTTGTAAAATATTACAATTTAATTCAAGTGTGTTATATATTTGTTTTAACCATACAATTCGAGCACTTGATACATGCGTTGAAATTAATTCTCAACTACAAATACAGTCAAAGATTCGATTTTTTTCGATAGAAGAATATCTATAAAGCTAGAAAGTATTCTTCTATTTTCTAATAGTTGCGTTATTATATTGATCATGTTTCTCTTTACGTGACATAAAAAAGAGTAATGAAATCTTTAATTAAAATTTAATTCATTATTTTCACAAATACTTTTTGCAACTAATTATATTAATTAAAGTTTATTCTTCTCAGAGAAAGATGATTACTGTAACGATTGCAATATTCATATTGAATTATAATAGTTAAGTGTTAATGATACGCGCATGTTTGTTCAAAGAGCTGTATTTTTAGGGCGATATTTCGAAAGGGCGTGGTGTTATGTAGTTTTTTATGTTGAAAAATGGCCTTCCGTGTTATAGTAAATAAAAGCGTGTAATACCGCGGATGCGGAATAGATATTTTCCGCATGAACGTTATTAAATGTTATCCTTGTGGATGTTATTGCAAAGAACCATCGATTTTATGACAGGAAAAAAAATATCTCACGGTGAATACATGTTCGATATATGCACTCGGTCATAATTGTACATTGCTCTAGATTATGCGAGGTGCTCTTTCCACAAAAGATGACTGAATTAAAAGGAATCTTCGAAAATTGACTGAATTCTGCGAAGTCAAATCGTCTTCTAAGAAATCAGAGAATCATTTCAATATTTTTTAACATAAAGTCCTAATTAAAATTAGTACCATTTGTCATTTTCATATTTTTTTATAAAATTGGAAAAAGTAACATAACGATAGGAATTAGAAATGAAATGGCCTTCATCTATTTAATTAAAAATTTTATAAAAATGAAATATCACATATGTCGATTATTTCAAATTCACAGTTGAAAGAGATAATTAATATGGAACGAATGTTCTTTTTTCCTTTTAATGCATTTAATCTTTTGCACGGTCAGTAAGCATAATTCTTCTTCCGCACAAATCACAATATTGCAATTATTGTCTCCTGATATTTTCAAATGTTAGGTTCTAAAAATTACATTCTCTTTGATCTTATGTTAAAGTTGTTTAGATTGTCTCTTATTATTTTAAAACTTGGAACAGTCTTTTATAATTCTTGTAAATATCGGATAATCGAAACGCATTTTTTGAAAAAAATGCTTTTATTAAATAATACAATTGTATAGAATACGATTAATTTATGTAAATTGAGATATCGATTTATGTAAATTGAGATCTGTCCATATAAGAGCACGTTGTATACGCATGCTTCGAAAGGGAGGAGAATTATCGATACTGACTTATCCTCCAAAATTATTATACATAAAAGTATATATAAATAAATAAATATATATGTATTTTTTGTTGCAATCGACTTTGACCTGGGCAGGGTTCCAGAGAGTGTCCTAATATTATTATAATATATCAGTATTTTTCTGTATTTTTTTATCAAGTTGATAAAATAATAATTGTTAATATATTGTGCAAATATCAAATAGATACCGTCCAAGAATAAATTTTAAAGCTGACAATCCAGTTTTCCCTGCCTGTAAAATTGCACGCACACGTCATAGTCGCACCCTTCATGTAACGTTACTCGACCACTCTTGTTCCGCTCCCTAAAATTTTATCTTATTTTTCATTAAATTTGCTTGTAATTTTGATAAATTTAATACATTGCATTTATAATCAAATTAATTTCTTTTGATCAAAAATGTAATTGAATGTAATGTAGGTAGTCGTTTGTATTCAAAAAAGCTTACAATATTATATTTCTTAATGTGTGTGTAAGATTTTATTGTAAAAAAAATTACTAAGAGATACATTCTTAAGATATAATAAGAGCATTTAAAAAATCTATGGGTTCATTAAAGAAATTTAATGAAATTTTAATTTAAAAAAAACACGTACTGAAAATAAAATGTTTTAAAATCACAATTATTATATGTTAATGAAGATCCAGATTCTCTTAAAATGATAATGTTTATTCTTTCTTATTATATAACAATAAAATCACTACTTAGATATTTTACTTGCATTTGATAAGGAAGAATTGGATTTTATCTAACGATGAGAAATCAATTTTGTTTATGTGTTATATATAATTTTGAACGTGTGTAGGTATTGGATTATATTCTATCCGTACATCCATAAATTATGAGTCAAAAATGTACATTTTTTTGCATATGAATTTTTACATGTATACTTTATTTTAACTAATGTCCTTTTTTCTATTCTAGCATATATAAATATTAGTACATATTATTATTACATATATGTATATTTTTATACATATATGCGCGAATTCTTGATAAAGAGAGAAAAGAATGAAAAGATAATAGCTTTAAATAAACTCAATCTTTCTTGATAAGGTATGAAATTTATTAAAAAATTTTGAAATTTTGAAAATATTAAAAAATTTAATTATGCGCGTTATTGATATTTTTCGAAACATCAATTTTCTTGAATATTGTTTTCTAATATATTGTATTCTTATATATTGTATCTGTATTTATATTATTCGTAATTTGCGGGCTTCTATTTTCGATGTTAATCTATCGCGGCGCTATTATCGATATCGGAAGGAATCCTTCGCTCTCTCTCTCTCTCTCTTTCTCATCGGCCTTCCTCGTGTACGGATCACTACGTCTTAGCTGTACGATTTTCATACATACATTTTCTTTTTTATAATATTAGCATAAAAACAAGCATAAGAAACTTAAAGAACTTTCTCCATCTCGCACGAATCCAACATTTATATAATATATACATAAATCAACATTTTATAATTTCGTTAACACATCGTGCAGGTGAGTGATAAACTATTAATTTTGACATAAAGTATTTAAGAATTAAATTAAATAATTAATTTTTCACCTATGTGTATTATTCGTACATTTAGCATTATCATTTCCGAATTGAATAAATGGAGTAACAAATCGTCAGATCGAATATAGTCGGAATTGGTTAATGGAAAATCATGGTGTGTAAACTGAGTTGTTTATTATTAATCAATTAATGGAAATGGGAGAATAAATAACGAAATATTCGATAAAAAAGATCTACAAATATTTCATAAAACGTTAAATATTTGACAGCAAATAATATTTCGAGGTAATAATAATCGATTGGTGAACGACCTTAGCGTTTGTTTATGCGTTATACATATATAAGGTCATTCACGCGGCGAGCAAGCAACACGTCATGCGATGTAACTCTTTTTGAAACGCAATCTTGCTCTACGAATAATTAGCGATTTTCAGTTTGTATCATTAATTAACTTGGCAATCAAGAATTTTAAAAAATGTATCAAAATGATAGTTATTTACTGAAACAGATATTTCACGCAATTTATTCATTCGAAATAGAAATTAAAGCGATAAATAACATGACAATTATAAATTTTGCTGCCATTGTTTCAGGTAATTACTTTTTTATTTACTAAAAATTTTATATTCGATGCGTACAATAATAAGCAGATATTTAATGGACTAATTTTATAAATTCAAAAAGAATTCCACTTTTTATTAAGTAGAAGCTTTTACAGCAGAATTACAGCTTTTAAATAAAAGGCTTTTTCTCTAATTCTTATTTACTAAATTGTTTAAATAATAAAGTTGTTCTAAGTAATTACTTTTTTAACGATTCGTATATGTATTTCTGACATTTAAATGTAATTTTGCATCGTTAATAACAATCCATCGAGTGATTAATCATTAATGTATTAAATATTTTGATTTATTATTCATGTTGTATAATTTTATTATGTATTACATGTGTAATTAATTTTATAATTAACAAATTTATAATTAACAAAATATTTTGTAGCAACGAATCGATTGATGTTTGGTGTGCTCGGTTTTTTACGTCTCTTTTCATTTAAAGGAATGTATTTACTGAAAATTTTATATCCGATACGTACAGTAATAAGCAGATATTTAATGGACTAATTTTATAAATTCAGAAAAAATTCCACTTTTTATTAAGTAGAAGCTTTTACCGAATTACAGCTTTTAAATAAAAGGCTTTTTCTCTAATTCTTATTTATCAAATTGCTTAAATAACAACATAGTTACAAGTAATTACTTTTTCAACGATTCGTATATGTATTTCTGGCATTTAAATGTAATTTTGCATCGCCAATAACAATCGATCGAGTGATTAATCATTAATGTCTTATGTATTAAATATTTCGAGTTATTATTCATGTTGTATAATTTTATTATGTATTACAGATCATGTGTAATTTATTTTATAATTAACAAAATATCTTGTAGCAGCGAAAAACAAGTCGATCGATGTGCTCGGTTTTTTATAACGTCTCTTTTCGTTTAAAGGAAAAAGGAATGTAATATGATAATGGTGTAATCTTTCAATTATAAAATAAATTACAAATTTTATTATATTGCAAAAAATTACATAATATAAATCCCTCCCAATGGGTACACCTTGACGTTGGTGGGAGGGCTTAGTACCCGGAAGGTTTATCATTACCTGAAGGGGAAGCTAAGTACCCAAAATATATTTGGAAAAAGTATATATATATATATATATATATATATATATATATATATTCGAAAAATTTAAATTCAGAAATGCTATATAAAGTATAGCGCGTTTAAGTGCGAAAGTTACAAATAAAAGTTCTTTTTCCTGACAATTCCGATAATCTGAAAGGAGGAAGAGATCTAGAAGAGGCATCAGGGGCATTTACAAAATAAACCTGGGGTGAGTAAACTTATCATTTGTATAATAGTCATATTAAGCGCGAAATTGAATGACACGATCAATCGTAATTTGATTTATTATTTAAATAATTTAAATAAGAATTAGAGAAAAAGCTTTTTATTTATTTAAAAGCTATAATTAAAAATAAAGTAAAAGTTTCTAGTTAATAAAAGGTAGCATCTTTTCTAAATTTATAAAATTGACTCATTAAATATCTACTCGTTATTGTACTCATCGAGTATAAAATTCAGTAAATAATCCTTGCAAATATTAATTATTTTGAGCGCTACTACAATTTGGATTCTATCTGCATGTTACAGATCAATGCAGTTTCAATGCCGTTAATCCTGCTGTTTCACATCAGTCGGTGAGTGAAAAATTTTTATTTTAAGGTAACGGATTATTTTGAAATAAAGGTTATAGATGTAGATTATAGACTATGCGGAGAAAATATTATAGTAAAAATTACAACACATAATTTTAATCGTGAAGCATACTAAAATAAATAGAAAAATCACAATTTTTTCAATAATATCTACGTTTTATATCTTAACTAAAGCCAGGTTATCGATATTATATTACATGTACTATTATAATGAATAATATAAATAATAAATAATTTTATTATTATAAAAATAATTTTTTTGTATTCCAAATTATAATATAATATTACACAATTTTTAATTATAATCAATTTTGACCGATAACCTGACTCTATTATATCAATTAAAATAGTTATATTAAAATGAATTCTAAAATGAATGATATCATGCATAGGAGTACAAAATATTTTTACACTTATTTACAAAATATTTACAAAATATTTACACTTACGTATCTATCGGTTATGATAATTGAAGAAATTCTTTCTCGATCTTTAATAGAGAACAAAATGGTTAGATAGCCACTTTAACCAGATAAATACAGCTGTAGTTGACCAGCTGCAACCGTGTCATACTGACTCGAAGATAAGTTGCACAGGATAAGTGAGCAATATTAGTCAAAAATATATAAAAAAAGTGCTTCGTAATGCGTAGTATGTATATATTTCCTCGCACTGTTCGTTTTATTTACGAAAACGATGACACGTGATCGCGCACAATATGTACGAGCCCTCGCCTCGGACAGAAAGCGAGCATCTCGCGCGAACAACACTGGGCGGTATCCAATGGTGTGTCAAGATGGTAAATTATTCATGACCGAGACGAATGAGTTAATAAGCTGTAGTACGAGCCCCGGGTCGAGGCAGAGATGAGTGATCGTAAATGTAAATCAGCCGGAGCTACGGATACTCGGCCTCGCGTAACACGAAAGGGGCGCGGTACCGTCCAAACCGTTTTGGGACCATCCCCGCTGTCCATCCCTTTACGGTATATTCCGTCCTTCTCTCTCTCTCTCTCCCTCTTTCCTCTGTGCTCTCGTAAATATATTTATACCGAAATCCCCACGCATTATGTGTTCTTGCGAGCTGAGTATTAAATTCTGCGAAGATCACATCGTGATCTTCTCGGCTGCTCGCTATAAATTTATTCTGTTGATCCATAGAGATCACGAAGAGTAAATATCGTTTTCGATGAAGAAATACAATGAGTGTTAAAGTGGAAAGATTTGGATGTTTGTGGTAAATATTAAAATAATTTAGCAACATTTTCTAGAATTATAATTCACAATTGCAATTCTTAAAAAATGGTCTTAATGTCAGCTATTTAAATTTAATCAACTATAGCTTTCCACGATTTTACGAGCATTATTAATTCATGAAAAATCTTTCCACAATAGCATCGTTAATTAATTTTATGTATTTCTTGTTTGAATAATTTTTAAACTGTCTTTTCTAATTTTGTATAATACTTGTTAATTTTTAATTACCTGCGGAAAACTAAAAGGTAGAATAACCGAGAAAGGTTTAATTATTGTCAGAGTCCAATTCGTAATTTAAAATAACTTTCCGACCGTCTTTCACAACGTCATAATTTTAAAAATTAAACTCCCATCCTTTCTATTTGTCCTATTTCTGTACGATTATTTTTTAAATATAACATCTACTCTCTGTCTGCTAAAACGCTTTGATAAAATGCAATTGATCAGAAATACCGTGTGGCATGTAAGTGCGTTCCTATTACGCGCGAACTGTGTTACGTCTAGTTGAAGTTATTGGGAATAAAAGGAACAAAAGCGGGTATTCGATGAATTCAGTGGCGGTGGTCGCGAATATTGGGCCAATAAAGGACCGGTCATAAAGCTCGATCGGGTCGTGTATTTCTTTCAGGATATTTTGTCACACAAAGTGAAAGCGCCGCTATTCAATACAGTCGCATAATTCGGCTAATTGTTTTTATTTTTCATGCAAACCGCCGAACTCTTCTCTATGGATGCTTTTTCGATTAATTCAGCGAGCCAAATTGAGTTAACCTTTGACAAACAGAAAGTAATATCTGGATCGTTCAAAAATCCGCGGACAAAAGAAGATGTCAACGATAAAAATTTGTTTAAAATGATGAAAATTATCTCGCGATATTAACTTCATTAATACAATTGTCGGAGAAAATTATTCGTGCTACAATAATTGGATGTAGTTAGATTAAATCAGCGTCATAAAAACTTAAGAGATATGGAAACTTGTCAAGATGTAGAAAGATTGACCGCAAATTGTATGGAAATTAGAAAAATTAGAAATTTAGAATAATTCAGCAGTTACTTACAATTGGAATATATTTCAACTTTTTATTTTGCAATAAATTTTAGTAAAATTTATCTACTTAAACTCGTAATGATTTCGTAATAATTACTCGCTAACGAATTACAAATTACTGTCTTTGTTAAAATGTATTTATTTTGGAATTATTTTTTTTAATTAAAAGAATTAAGGGATCGAAATAAAATATATATCTTAAATATATAAAGAGGGAAAAAGGGAAACGTGATACTGCAAATTTATTCGATTGGCCGGAAGGCGGGAGTATGAAAAACAAAAGGATTCGCGTTTAAATAAGGAGCTCGCCGGAAGGCGGTCGGGCGTATTCTCGTGTTCCATTGTATTTTTCAGCTTTGACTACCGGAGACGGTTTTCACATTATTTTCTTGCTTCCGCTATGACGGCCACACTGAGCGAAAAACTTTCCGGAAGTCGGACCAGCCCCATGTTTGCTCGATTTACCTCAAGGCATAAAAGCTCGTTTAGCTTGTTAACTTAGTGGAAGAGTTATTTTCGTGAAATTACGATTTAAACTCAAAATCGGCTGGTTTAAGCTCAAAACCAAATCCCTTTATGTTTCATTACGTATTAAATATAATTGCCCGATTCTAGATTAACGTCAATCTTTTCTTCTTCTTCCTTCCCTTATCGAATGAAAGACGTTTTTGCGTGTCAATCTTGATTTAATTTTATTTTACAGACGATGGTTAAATTTATTATGTAAACGTATGATTTCTCCCATCTGAATAATTCTAAAAGCCAAGTTGAATCTGGAAATTAAGTCGCGGTAATTTAAACAAAGTGTGTCAAGCAGTGTCCGAGCAGCCGGGACAGTTTGATACGAGTGTATGGTCGAAATAAAAAAATAAAGTACGTATATATGAGAGAAGTCGCTCTGGAACGGTAAAAGCTCTTGGCCGTTCTCTCGAAAGTGTCCTTCACCAAAGTGCGCTCGTTTGTCCCTCAACTTTCGAGCCTTCTGTTGCGATGATAGCCAAACGTGTTTAGGGAAACGAGAAATCCTTACGATCCGGAGAGGGTATATATCACCCCCGCTTGAGCGATTTGCCAACGAGATTGCCAATAAATCGCCGGTGGAATAACGAGCAGTTAACTTTACGTGTCTCTTTATTAGGGAAACGTGGAAATGCTTGGGATATCGAACATTTTGGAACTTTAAGTTTATTTGGAGCATATAGAGAGGAAATTTATCAGAGTCACATTGTTTGATTATAAAAGTTTGAATAGTTGAAAGAGAATTAAAACTTTTATATAGGATGTTTTTAAATAAGTGTGAAAAATTTTAAGAGATGATTCTTTGCTTAAAATGAAGGGAATTTTAAATATACTTTTATATCTCTGAGGAATTGCAGTCTTTCAAGGATAAAAATTAGATTTTAATTTTTTTTGGATATGTATACATATATATTCACTTTTATTCCATTTTTTTCAATATTTATTGTAATTTCGTTTTACTTTTTTATTTTATTTTAAAATTCTTCCCGAAATCTATGTCATTAGCATGATGCTCTGCATAATAATGTATTTTTTTTAACTATTACTTTTACGAGAAAAATGAAAGAAGCAAAAAAGTTTAAAGAAATCAAGCATTTTAACGCATATTTTTAGATGAACACATTTCGAGCCATTAAAAAATTGAATAGGAGTTGTTAAATTCATTCCCTTGTGTGGGAAGATTAAAAAATTATTAATAAGAGTATCCTTTTTACTAGTGGAAAATATTCACTAAATTTCACTTTTTTAACTTGTCCAAAATTCGAGAAAAAAAGGTAAAAAATTTTCATCTCTCCCTTTGTTGTAGGAATGTAATTCTTTTTTGGGAGAAATATAAAAGTATACGCTATATAAAAGTATACGCTATATAAAAAATTCCTCTTCATTTTTGACAAAGAATTATCTTCTAAAATTGTTTGCACTTATTTGAAGAAACATTACGTATATCAATTCTCAAAACATTAAATGTGTTTGTCAGTCGCACTTTGAATGGCGGGAATATTGGATTGGCAGACATTTTGCACGCTCGACATATCGGATATTTTCGAAAGCTTGAATTTTCGAAACTTAGCGCCAAGTATATTTCACCGATTACACCGATCGCACTTTACCTTACGAAAGTCTTAAGCGTTGAAAATTTCCCGAGCACCGTTTGGAGAAAGGTTCAGCGCTCGCGGCTTCGCGGAGGGGAGGGAAATTGCGAGAGCTCGCAACGTTATGCACTCTTATAATTGCGTATTTGCAGCCGGGCGCGTAACAAGACGCGGAATTTCGCCAGCAGCGTCACGCGTTTCTGTCTTTTTACGTAATTCGCTTTAACAGAATTTACTACAACACGATGCACACGGCCGTGCGTTATAACGTCGTGAGGAAAAGCAGAAGTAACGGCCAGACGGGCGGATACGAGATAATGATCGCGAGGGATTACGAGAGCTGTCCCCCCATCCCTCATCCCCCATCTCCGACCAGCTCATTTCCCTGCCCCTCCCGGGGTTATTCCTCGAGTTTCCTTCGCGTTGATACTGGGATAACAATTTGCAAGGGACGCGAATGCGCCGGATGCCCGCGAGGGCTCGAGGGAACGTTCGAGGGATAGGGAATCGATCCTCTCTCATACGGAGTCCGTCTAGAGGATCCTGCAGAATCCAGGAACTGCATTCAGCCACCGTAATGGCGGCGAGGTTAATAGACCGGACGGAGATTCATCGCCTGATCGTTGGCTCTTTGAGCCTTTTAACTCTGTCTTCAAAGGCGAGCTCGATTGTTAACACCTTCGTTCCAATCATGCATTCGATCACCTGTCAAATTTACTTACCGTCCAAAATGTTATATTAATTTAAAAAATAAATAAATATATAAATTTAAAAATATATATATTTAAAACATAAATAAATATATAAATTTAAAAATATATATATTTAAAAAGTAAATAAATAAATAAATTTAAAGAAATAAATAAATTTTAGAGGAGTTTGTGTAATAATTTAATATTTCGAATTACTTGCACATTAAAAAAATTTAAAATAACCGCAGATGCAATTTGAAACTAACTGATATTATTGTTCTAATTGTTTAGATCGCAAGTATAGAAATCGCAATCGTACCTAAGGAGCTAATTAGTGGGAGAAGAGCATCGATCATCCATGGAGATTCCAGAATCTCGAAGAGCATCCGAGGATCCTCCAGGATAGTTGGCATCTTCGGCTCTAACAATGAAATATCATTAAGGTATGTTAAAACCATCTTTCTGAAAAGAATCAAACCGAAGTTAGACACTCATTTGAATGAGAACCTGTTGGTTCACTTTTTCTCTCCGTCATCTCCGGACCCAATTGCCCCGATTATTCGAAACTCTCTCGAATCTGGACGAAATCTCTGATAAACTTAGCGGTAAACTTCGATTCGACGTAGCCCTGATTGTTAATTCAGCGCCGCTCGGTTTCCTCAACTTAGTTACGCAACATAAATTAAGACCTTGGAGTCGTCCGCTGCGTTGCTCGTTCATTAGCGGCTCTTGCAATCGAAATCGTTGCTTTCCCTTCCATCGTAAATTAATAATAAAAACGATGTTAATTGAAAAGAGGAGAAACAGCTCGAAATGATTCGCTCACAAATGTAAAACAAATTTTATGACGGCAAAATATTTTAATAAATATTTTAATATCGAGTTTTTTTTAACAAGGAATTTAATATAAATATTTTAATATAAATAACTTGCATATTAAATTTATTTATAATATCTTGAATTTTTTCTAGCTATTTTTGTTATTTAAAATAAATGGTTATACATCTACACGCAATACCTAAAGAGTATTAGATAAGATGCTGAGAGAGTTCAAGTCGGTCAATATTATCTTCACCACCTAGACGCATGAATGATAATTAATAGCCGAGGAATGTTGAGGATAATTAATCATCGGGAAATAATTAATAGCATGCGGTAAAATAAACATGATTGAACCATAATTTATTATGTGAACTCGAGCGAATAAACATTAAATAGCGAATTTCACAGAGGGAGTCTATTAATTATTTATATAAACAATTTATTTTAATATAAATTCGCGTCACGCATCTTTAACATAAATCATGTAACGTGTTTCTAAAAATCTTAAAATTATATTCAATTCAAAGAAAGATTAGAGTTTAATAATTAATTATTATACATATATGTATCAATTTTACAGTCGCGTTTTATTTTATTTTTTTTTATCAAAACAAGAGACAAATTTTTCAGAGAGATTCGCGAATCTTTTGCGACTTGAAACTTATGGAATCACAGGATGATCGCGATTTCTCTTGTTTGAGAAAGAAATCTAAAGTGTACAGGAATTACACGCGATTTTACAAACGCTTTCGCGATCGCTAACGTAACGCGAGATGTTAAACACAACAAGGCGTAATATTACATCATCGATGTCGATGTCGACGTCGACAACCCCGGGATCGACGTCGCCATCGTCATTCCGGCTTTGACGCATATTACGTGGCGTTTATTAAACACGCCCTCATTGACGCATTTACGGACAGTAATCGCGATTACGCAGTGGAAGAAGTCATTTTCCTTTTAACTTCGCGCGCGAATTCCCTTTAATGTTAAATTTTTTCTATTTCTTCTCTCTTTTTTGTTTTTATTACTTTTTAATAAAAAATTTAAAAAATGTATTAAATATTGAAATATTATTAAGGCTAGAGATTTTACATCGTTATAGATTGATGGAACATACGCGTCTATATTTTTAAAAATTCTCTTTAATGTTACAAATTTTTTTAATTGTTATATAATAATAAATTAGATAGAGAGAGAAATAATATGATATCGAACGGAAGGGTAGAAAAGTGTCTAAAACAAGTTGCCAATAAAAAGAGCTAAAATTGCGATAAAAATGATTTTCCTGCTACATTTATAGGATTACATTTGGCGGGCTGTACCTTTCAATTTGGTATTCGGTTTGATTGGTTCGATTTGGGTTCGCCCTAATTCGATCCGGTTACCACGCAATCGGCATAACGATTGGTGTTGGCATGCCAACAATTACATCGTCGAGCTAGCCGCCAGGATTTTGACCCCTCATTAACGCGTTTAGTGCCTTTCACATTCGACCGGCGTCATGAGAACGTTAATTAAGAAATCATGTGTAAGCCAATTTCTATATATTTCACACGAAATCATTAAGTTTTACATTTATAACTAGATTCTACGATCTGGGTGATTGGAATCATTTCATTTGCATTCTTTAGAATTCAAACGAAAAAATTGAAAACATCTCAGATAAAAGTGTCAACGATGTAAAAATACAGAATTTTTTTTGAACGAAAGTAAAACTTCAATGTTTAAATTAATAAAGATCAAACTAATATTTGGATTGTGAAAATAACCATGCAAACGTTGCTATAATTTATGTCGCGATTAGTCGGAAAAAAACTAAGAAAAGTCCCGAGAAAAATTTCGCGAAATCGAAACAAGAGAGAGAGAAAGAGAGAGAGATAGATCCGTTAAATATAATTTTAGACAGACAAAACGGAGCTTTCATCGCTCAGTTCGACCAACATTGTCCGCGCGGATATTATTACCCGAAGAATGGTCGTTTGTGGGAAGGGGGAGGAGACGGAGGGGGAGGAGGGGTTTGCCGGAGAAGGTTCCCTGAGTAAACCCGAGGCTTTCCTTTCGACACGAGCTTTCGGCATTGTGCCCAGGCGAGCTCGCGCACGTAAATACCATGATTGATGGGATAGAAACAGCCCTTGAATCGCCTCCGACTCACCCTCCCTCGTCTACCCTCGCTCGCCGAAGTTTACAAGGAGGCCACAATGGACCGAGCAGCGTGCCGATTTTCCGTGCAACCCCCAGCGATGGGCACTTAACACCCCATCCATCCCTCGTATTGTTTGATTGTTCAATGGCACGTGCTGCGATCCGATCCTCCGACCACCCCCCGAGCCGCTCGCGCGGCCCCCTCCTCGAACGCTTCTCTTGCGATTCACCGTTAGTGAAGCGGAGTTCACCCTCGGAGCCCTCCTCAGAGACCCTCGAACATTTTTGTAGCGATTCTCGACTCTTCAAAGAGCTCGAGAGAGATCCTCTCGGGGATTCTCTCCAGGGATACTCCAGTTTCTATAAAATTCTTGGTGGTGCTATGACAGTTTAATTAATAATTTATGTTATATGTATTTTTCAATATTTTTCTCGCTGCTTTTCATAAACACATATTGAAATCGACGGACTTGAGAGTTAAAATTTTTCTTTAGAGAATGAAAAAAAGGTTAAAATTTAATTACACATTTTTTATATTTTTTGTATCAAAAGAACCTGATGAAATTCTAATTTTGATCGAACTTTACATACGTGTAGAAGAAATAAATAAATTTAGAAATCTTCTATTACAGCTCAAAAATGATTCTAAGGGTGTGAAATCATCCTTTGTTTTATACAAAAATTTCATGATAAAAATACTTCTATTTAACCATATTGACAAAATTTTGAAAAAATAATTGTTTCATCCCTCAAAATCATTTTTGGGCCGCAATTAAAAATTTCTAAATTTATTTATTTATTTTTAAATTTATTTCATTTTCTCTCTCATGTGTATAAAGTTTCATCAAAACCAGAATTTTTCTTTGTATTGCCTTTAGATTACATACAAAGCTTTGAATCGCGAATATAAATTTCGATATAATCAATATTAATACTAGTCAGTATCTCACTATTTATTAATATTTAAAATAAATATTTGAATATTTGAAATAAATTTCGAAAAATATGGAAAAATATATTTTTTCTCATATAAAAATCTTATGAGATCGATTACACTCTGATTATTTTCATATTTATAGCACAACGAATTTTCGACATATTTATACTAATTGTCCTGGTAAGATCCTCATTGAGATGCGCCAGGCAAAAAGGGTCTCGGAACGGGCTAATTATTCGCCGTTACAGGTGCATCGGCCGTAAAACCAGGTACACTCAGCCCGCAGGTACACTCGGCTAATTGAGTGGGAACAGACTGTCGCGCCCACAAAACCGTCCTTTCCCCCATTTCGCCCTTCCATCCGATCTTTAGCTAAAAGTAGAGAAACTGCCAAGCGTAAATACACTCGCATTCGTTCGCAGATACGATTGCGAATTAATAATTTGTGCAGCCTTTCGTATCCTCTTTTCGCGAGGTACTTTAATCTTTGCTCCGATCCCTTTGTGACTCTTAGTTGCGCTCGAACATTTTAATTTTTAACAATCTGTAAATTGTCTTTGCTTCAGTTTAGATATTTATTAAGTACGCTATTAAATACGATTGTTTGCCGTATTTCTCAGAACATGAGATAGAAAGAGTATAAAAATTTTTTAAAATGTTCATTTATATTATTAATGTAATTTTGATTGGGACTTTAAATGTTTTTTTCTCATAAAGAGTTTCTCATAAAATGAATATAATATATCATAATAAAATATCTTTCGATAATGAACGTTTAAAAAATATATAAATCATTATTTGTCATTTTAATTGTGTAATAAATTTATATAAAAAAGAGTAGATGAGAAATAATCATTATTAAATTATAATAAATAAAAAATAGTTATTATTACATCGTCGGAAAGTAGTATAAATACTCGAGATTTCAATTTAACCGGCGGGTCTCCGGTCTTGATGGCTGCTCGAGAGCGAGCAGGAATAAAACGTATTGCAGGGGAGATCAAGGATGTCGATCGAGGATACAGGAAATATATATACGATAGATGTATATATGTATATGTCTATATATATATATATATATATGTGTGTGTGTGTGTGTGCGTGTGTGTGTGTGTGTGTGTGTGTGTGTGTGTGTACGATGCATCGGCATTATCGCTCGAAATCCAAAGCGACGGACAGGGCGCCGCAGAATTTTTATTCAGAGAGCATCTTTAGAGATACGAGATCAAATTAGATCCAGACGTCAGATCAAAATATACTTACTTTTCTTCGCGCGCGTTCCTCCTCTTTCGATCTTTTTCCATGCTTTTATTCCATTTTACTGCCGACATCAAATACCGCGAGATCATGTCGTGACGTAAAGCATTCTAATCATCAAAGATTATAATTTGTAGCAGCAACGAGATATTACATTTCTATAAAAAAAGTTTCCCTTTTATTTTTTTTTATATCCCTTTTTAAAGCATTAATTGATATCTAAAGAGCTTTAAATGTTTTACATAGATAAAGTTAATCATCGAATATTTGTGGGAAATT